AGGTTTCTCTGGCCCTATCTGGGCTTACCACATTGCATGTTCAAATGGAAATTTCTAGCTCTCTATTAAAATTTTAACCTCTGTAGTGTGGTCCAAGTGACTAAGAGCCTAGAATATGGGGCTAGACGGCCTGAGCTCCAATCCTGGTGGCAGGTAGCTTTGGGCAAGCTGCTTAATTCTCCTAGTCTCAGTTTCATCTCTAAAATGGGGGAACTGTACAAATGGTAAGGCTGAGCATAGCTCAGCATGAGAATGGGGAGCTCCTGGGAGCTGCAGACAAGGCACACAAGTTCATTTTCTGTTGCTATTAACACAATACTACAGGGTGGTTGGGTTTTTTGAAAAAGAGCTTTATTAATCTCACAAGTCTGGAGGTTCCAGAGCTCGAATCTGGTGATGGTCTTCTTGCCGGCAGAGTCCCAAGGCAGCATCGGGCACCACGTGGCAAGAAACAGGAGCACATGTCTCTTCTGGTTTCTCCCCCTCTTACAAAGCCACCAGGATTCAGTCATGGGGCTCACCCCAATGACCTTATCCAACCCTATTCACCTCCTAAAGTTCCCATCTCTAAATACCGTAGTCGGATCAAGTTTTTGTCTCATCACAGGTTACTCCAGAGGCACCTGCACACCCATGTTTATTGCAGCACTATTCACATAGCCAAGTTATGGAAACAGCCAAGATGCCCCACTACTGATGAATGGATTAAGAAAATGTGGTATTTATACACAATGGAATTTTATGCAGCCATGAAGAAGAACGAAATGTTATCATTCGCTGGTAAATGGATGGAATTGGAGAACATCATTCTGAGTGAGGTTAGCCTGGCCCAAAAGACCAAAAATCATATGTTCTCCCACATATGTGGACATTAGATCAAGGGCAAACACAACAAGGGCATTGGACTTTGAGCACATGAAAAAAGCTTTAGCACACAAGGGAGGGGTGAGGATAGGTAAGACACCCCAAAAACTAGCTAGCACTTGTTGCCCTTAACGCAGAGAAACTAAAGCAGATACCTTAAAGCAACTGAGGCCAATAGGAAAAGGGGACCAGGAACTAGAGAAAAGGTTAGATCAAAAAGAATTAACCTAGAAGGTAACACACACGCACAGGAAATCAATGTGAGTCAACTCCCTGTATAGCTATCCTTATCTCAACCAGCAAAAACCCTTGTTCCTTCCTATTATGGCTTATACTCTTTCTACAAAAAATTAGAAATAAGGGCAAAATAGTTTCTGCTGGGTAGTGAGGGGGTGGGGGCAGAAGGAGGGGGGCGGAGTGGGTGGTAAGGGAGGGGGTGGGGGCAGGGGGGAGAAATGACCCAAGCCTTGTATGCACATATGAATAATAAAAAAAAAAGTTTTTGTCTCATAATACCTCCCAATAGAGACCAAATTTCAACATGTGAAGCCTTAAGGGACAAAAACCACATCCAAACCATAGCACCAGGGCGTACACACACCCACCTCAGGTTTTTCTCCACAGACCTTGACTGGTACACGCACACACATATACAAATATTGGGCACAGAGTGGGAGATCAGAGATACCTTCCTGCAGGGGCACAGGTGTGTGGGGGGGTGAAGGGAGGTGGCAGCCACTGTGGCAGGAAATGCACAAAGCTCACCCTGACTTCCCATCCCCCAAAGAAGGTAGAAGCTTCTAGAAAAAGGGCAGCAAACACTGTTGGTCTCAGGGTACAGGTAAAGACCTCTGAGGCGTGGAAGGAAAAGGAAGTACCTTCATTCCGTGGCTGTGGGGACAGGAGGTTGTCCCAGTGCCATGAGAGGGCTGCTCCTCCAGGAGAAGAGTGGATGGAAAAACCTCTGTCTCTGGGACCAAGAACACAGGGTCTGCCTCAGACTGAGACGGAGCAGGGTAATAGACCTCCAGGAGTTAACATTGAGGGGAGAAGGCCCTCTGCGGCAGAGGCTCATGGGAAAGGGGTAAAACAGGAACCTTGGACTCCAATTGTCACCCAAGAGCACAGTAGAACTAGAGGAATTTCAGGCCAGTGGTGCACTGAAGGTAAACAGGCAACAAACCCCAAATTTAACTCGATTCATAACTAAATGGACTGAACCCCTTGCACCAAAGGGCCAGCAGAGGGAAGATGTGCTCATTTTCAGATATAGAGTCTTTGCTGTTCCACACATGACTGGCATTCAATCAACAAAAAAAAGATACACCAAAAAACAAATAAAAACAACCCACTGTCAAGAGACAAATCAAAGAACCAGACTCTGGCAGACCACATGCATGGATAGATGAGGAATTTCAGCAGACATGGAAACTAGGAGAGTCGAATGGAAATGCTAGACACACAGCTGTGGTGAGAGAGAATATGTCTTTGGCGGACTCCTTAGTATACTCAACACAGCTCAAGAAGCAGTGGACTTGAATTGACAGGAATTTTCCAAACTGAATCACAAAGAGAAAATGGAGTCAAGACAAAACAACAGGGCTATGGGACAATGTCACACAGTTTGAAGATAGAATGGCCAGTTTGTTTAAATGAAAAATATCAAGCTTTGTAGATTTGAGAATTCTTGTAAATCTCAGAGAACCCCAAGAAGGACAAAAAACAAAACCAATCTAACTCTTAAACACATCACATTCAAACTGCTGAAAAGGTAGGATGAGTTTTAGAAAGGTACAAAGGTGCACATTACAGAGGGGCAAAGATAGGAATTGCAGCAGGGGTAGAGTTAAGTAATTGTTGAGCAGCTGCAGTGGACGAGCTGTGTGGTCAACAAAGCCTGAGATACTTACCACCTGGTCCTTTACAGAAAAAACCTTCTGAGCCCTGTGCTCGAGATGGAGGCAGAGAGGAGGAGACCGGGGTACAATGGCACAGTAATACAGGTGAGAAATGACAGAGAACACAAAGAGGCCATGACATGGCTAGAATCAGGATATATTCTGGGGGTAAAACCAATACAACATGCGTAAATTGGCAGTGTTTAAAGTTGCAGATTTTCTTTCTAGCAGAGGAAACTTTTTTTTTTTTTTTTTTGGTGGTATGGTGTTTGAACTCAGGGCCTCACACGTGCTAGGCAGGGGCTCTACCACCTGAGCCATTCACCCAGTCCTTTTTTTTGTGCTGGGAATTTTTGAGATACAGTCTTGTGAACTATTTCCCCAGGTTTGTTTTGAACTGTGATCCTCCTGATCTCTGCCTCCCAAGTAGCTAGGATTAAAGGCATGATCCACAGGTGCCCAGCGAGCACCCGGTGTTTTTAGCACCTTAGTTCTAGTAGCATCCTACATCCAGAACCAAATTCAAAAACTACAGACCTAAAAGAATAGAACCACCCACATCTCCCAGATGAGCCTCAGCATCCAAGGATGCATCTCTAAGCACATGACTATGGTGTTCCTTGGCCAGCACCCAGCATGTCACCAGCAGGGACAGGGGTTTTCCTGCCAACCTTGTTCTGAGAAAGGAAGCTGCTCCCAGTAGGCGTGGTGGTGAGCAAACAGTGAGGCCGAGATGTAGGCTGGCTGGACACTCGGTGAGTGCCTCGGGCAGGTATTTTTTAGATGCCAACGTGTTGATAAGAGTCAGCCTCCTTTGTGCATTGGATTTGACTCCCAAAGCTTATTCTGAAGTCCTAACTCTCAGTGCTTCAGAATGTCGAAGGACAGAGTCATTATAGAGAAGTTACAATGATGTCATCAGGGTGAGTCCTAATCTAATATGATTGATGTTTTTATAAAAGGGACATTTGGACCCAGAGACACAGATAGAGGGAAGACAGGGTGAAGACATGAGGGAATGGTCACCAGCAAGCCAGGAGAGACCAAGGAAGTTTCCTGACTACACAACCTCAGAAAGAGCCAATTCTGCCAACACCTCGACCTCAGAGTTCTGCCTCAACACTGTGGATGGCAACTTTCTGTCACTGGAGCCACCCAGTTCCTGTGTGCAGCCTGTTGGCCCAGGGATGATGGGAAGAGGCACATTCAATGGAGCACCAAGCTCCTGTCTACACCTCCCAAAGTGTGCTGTGTGTCTTTTGGGATGGGTAATATTGCAAGGTGATCCCTGGTGGTACAGGATGAACAGTCTCAATGAATACAATTGTGGCTTACCTTGCTGTGCAAATCCTTCTAAGAACAACAGTTAAGTGCCTTAAGGTTTAAATGCTACTAAAAATGTAGTTTTAAATGCCAATAAAAATGGGTGCATTCAGACTGGGGCTGTGGCTCAAGTGGTAGAGCACCTGCCCAGCAAGCTCAAGGCCCTGAGTTCAAACCCCAGTACTGGAAAAAAAAAAAAAGGTGCAAATGAACATCATTCTTTCAGAAAGACTTCAGCTGGAGCTGCCCTCACCTTCCTGTTCACTCCACAACCACAACACACATACATATATATGTGTATACATGTGCCACATACACACGTGCTTCATGTCCTCCCCACCGTCCCACGGAAGGACATTTCTATTTGCCAGACAAGCAAAGACAACTCCACAAATACACACCCACCCTGGCCCACTTCTACCCTCTCTGCGACCATTCTTCCGTGTTTCTGTTTCTCCTTAAATGAAGAGGTTAGTGTGCACCCGGCTGTAGCTGACCCAGTCCAGGTTCACAAGCTCTCTGAGGAGAGGCCAGTGTGCAGGGCGACCCACATCTATGTTGAAGTCTGAGAAAAGGGAGGCCAGGTCCCCACCAGAGGGAAAACTCCAAGCCTGAAAAGGAACAAGTAGTTTATTCTGCAGGAGAAGGTGCTCTGGGCGCTGTGACCAGCAGGCACGGGCAACTTTACTGCATGTGTCTAAGTGCTCTACAGTTCGCACTGGGAATGAGATAGTGACCAGCTTCAGGCTGGGGCACCTCTCCTTGTCCCCTCTGTCCTCCCACTCTGCCTCACCTTCCTTCTCTCATCTCTCTTCCTCATCCCTCCTGTCTCTATCTCCCCGAGTCATCTCTCTCTTCTTTCTTACACTCTCTCCGCATCTCCCTCCTCTCATTTGGTGTCCCCATCCCTGGCTTTCACGCGCCAGGGCCAGCGTCCTGGGCGGGCGCGCACACGACTCTAAGGCCTTCGTCGGGGGCGCGCGCACATGGCTGTGGGCTTGTGCCGGTGAGGTCCGTGGTCTCGCCCGCACTCTCCTGGGTGGGTGGCCTGCGCTCCGGGAAGCAGAAGCTGCAAGTCTCCACTGGCTCGGGCAACGCGCCCGCAGCGCTGCCAGCTTCCATGGAGGAGTCTGCAGGGACAAGGGAGGGCGTTGGCACGTACCCTCCACCAGGCTGACCCCACCCACACTTCAGAAGTTTCTTGGATCCTGGTGACTTAGGATCACCCCGGACCACCCGCGCTGGAGCAGGCTTTCAAATCCGGGTTCTCGCATCTGCCCGCGCCCCCAAACCAGCCATCCCCCAACCCGCCCCAGGGTGACTGCCCCTCTCTGTCTTAGCCCCAAGAGCCCTGCGTTCTGGGAAGCTGAAGTCGGCCACCCTACACCCACCCTACCACACCTCTCCCGGGCAAAACGCTGTCCAGGTAGAAACAGGAGCGGTGGGGTTGGGAGTAGGAGTGGGGGGATGGCCCACGAATGTGTGACATGCAGTGAGGAGGATCCCGCACTCACCGTGGGAGGCTTTGGCTGGTGGTCTGCGCGGCCCTGTAGGGGGTTGACTGGAGAGCGGATCCCCCTTCCTCTTGAAGAAGCAGGCCACCGCCACCAGGAAGCAGCAGAGTATGGCACAGAGGCAGAGCCCCAGAGTGCTGTAGACCAGGACCAGCTGGTCAGCGCTCAACTTGGGTCCTAGAGGTGCTGCAAAACAGGTTAAGACCCCCGAATTCAGAAGGGGCACCCATTCTCCAGGTTTCTTCTCTCAAGTGTGTCCTCCTTTAGGCCAGCAGCCAGCCACCCCTACTCCCTCCATTCCAGGTACCCCCAGGTCCCCTCCCTGCCCTGATGGTCTTTCTTTTCCTGTCATTGGGGCCAGGCAATCCACAAGGAAGCTCAGTTTCCAGCCCCTGCCTGCTGCAGGCCTGCCTGGCTCCTGAGGAGGTGGCATACTTTCTGGATCGGGAGGAAACTGACCCATTTCTGCCCCATACTTGTAGCAATTTCTTTGAAACCTCAAAGCTGGATACCCCTGGAGCTGGCTCTCGGTGTGGTCTCCACTTGCTAGGGATGCAGACTGGGGCAATCACAGAGATGGATGGATGAGCATGTGGATAATAGCTCCATCTGTTCTAAACCCAGTGCCTCCCGCCAAGGTGGGTGAGCTTATACTTTGAAAGCAGGGCCAGAGAGATGACTCAAGAGTCTGGGGGGCAGATGTGAACCAGGAGGACCCTGAGAAATGGGGCACAGGTCACTCTATAGCTCAAGACTTGATCTTTTGTTTGGATGCCAGGGGAAGACCCAGCCCAAGGCCAAAGACCTCCCCTTGACATTTCTCTTTATCCCACACTATTCCTGGTCCCTGGAAATGAGGTACCCCCTGGGGTAGAAGGACAGATAAGGCAGACTTATGTAAGATGCCTACAGTATGCTCACTGCTGATAGGGACCATTACCTGAGCCTGTTCTGGGTGCCAGGCATTTTCTGCAGAGCATCTTCCTTAATTCTCCAGCTACAATGGAGGATGCTTACGTCATTTATAAGTTGAGCCGTAACTGGTATATCGTCAAATCCCCCACACTAAAGTGCGGATTTTAGTGGCTCTTAGCCTATTCATGGGGCTACTGAACCATCTCCACTGTCTGATTTGAGACCATTTCTATCACCCACAAACAATCCCTCTGTCCCATTAGCAGTCACTGCCACCCCTCTTCCCTCAGCCTCTGATGACCACTCATCTGCTCTGTCTCTGTGGGTCAGCCTGCACTGGACATTTCATATAGTGGGATCTTGCACTATGGGACTGTCTAGGTCTGGCTTCTTTCACTCAGCATCATGTTTTTAAGGTTCAATCCAAACAGCGCCATGTACAGAACTTCGCTTCTTTGTATGGCTGACTAATATCCTGTTATGTTCTGTTTGTTTATATGCTGCTCAGTTGATGGGCCTTTGGGTTACCATCACCTTTTGGCCGTGTGAATAACACTGCTGGGAGCACACATTAAGCAAGTCTTTTTCAGCTCTCCTGGTTGTCTAAGAGAAGGGTTACTGGGACACAGGACAACTCTTCAGTATTTTAAGGATCTGCCTGACTACTTTCCACAGTGCCCCCACCATCTTACATTCCATGTAACAGATGACAAAACTAAGTTCAAAGTCATACTGTTCCTAGTCTTACACCTGAAACTAGGAACAAGTCTGAGGGACTCCCAAAGGGTGCATGGGGCCAGCATGCCAGACAGATGGCACTGCCCTCATCCTTACATTCGCTCTTAGATTCAGGAGTTTACAAAATGATGGAGCTGGTGAGATTCTTAGTGGCCCTCCTGGTGTCACTCTGGCATTTAGAGAGGGGAGATGGGGTTTTGGGAGCTGATGTTGCACTGGGGCCTGTGATGTTATCCTTCACGTCCCATGCTCAAAGGTTAGAGAGTGAGGATGTGGAAGCAGAGCCCCCAGCGGGGCACACCCCCAAGTGTTAGCCTGGGGTTCTCAGGAGGTGGCGCTATGTGAAGAGCCTGTCCCCCCCTCCATCCCCACTCCCACAGTCCTCTGGAATAAAACAAAGATGCCATTCTGGCTAGATCAATGGAGAAGTGGCCAGTAGCCTTTCCAGTGCAGATGGAATGCCAACTACAGACCATCACTGAGCAGGAATGGACTGCCAAGTTGATTCCAGGATGAAAACTAGACAGTCACAATTTCTGATGTTTTCAGCATGAGATTCAAACACCCACAACGACACTCTGACCACACTGTGATAAGAAGTTATCAGACGGTCCCCAAAAGATTGGCTACAGACACCATGTCCTGGTGGAATTCCTCTCCTTCAGTGCTGGGCTGGGACTCATTTGTCCAGGAAAACAACACAGTGGTTGTGTTAGGCTGGCTCTGACCCTATACCTGAAGGCCTGGCAACCTTGGCTTTTCCTGTTTTGGAATCCTGAGCAGCATGTGAAAAGTCCAGCTGGAAAGGCCACATGCACAGGGACAGCAGATGTAGGAGGGGTAAGGCACTGCCTCGCAGCATCAGAGTCAGGCCTCCGAAGGCTTCACACCAGCACCCTCTGCCTATGGCCTCTGAGACCCCAAGTGAGAACAACACAAAACCTGCCCAGTCCCCCTATACTGTGAGAGACAGTAAAACATCTGTGATTTTTAGAGCTTTAAGTTTTAGGTGGCTTGTGCATGCCACACTGGATGACCAACCCAGAGTCCCTCTGCTCTTGAGTGAAGGACTTCCCCTCACTTTTCTTCATTCTTCTCTGTCCAGACTTATGATTTGAGGTTTCCTGTGGGCAGTGGAGACCTACCAATAAGACATGCTTTCCAAAATCCCTGGACTAAGGAGAGAAATGCAAATTAAAGCTACAAAAAAACCAAAAAAAAAACCCATGTCATTTCTTCCTGCCACAAAAGGCTGTGGGAAAGCAGGCTCCTCACACATTGTTGGTGGGGTCACCCTTTGGAGGGCTACTTAGAACCACCCTCTGCTATTTAGAATGTGCCTTTCTGATTCCTGTTGACGTCATTGTCATGTCTATGTGTTCCCCACATATACACAGGTGTCATTGCAACACTCTCCACAATACCCAAAGTCTTGAGGCAACCTGGGCACATCAGTAGGCCTAAACTGTGTGGTATCCACAAGATGGAATAATACTACACAACCACTAAAGTGAATGAGGCGACCTATGTGTCCTGAGATGCAGCAATCACCAAGAGACGTGAAGTGACACAGTGAGGTGGACCCTCTGGGTGCCACTATGGGAGTAACCCAGGTGGGGAAATGTGAACATGCCTCATATAAGATTACATGTGGAAGGACCAAGAAGGAACTGGGAGGCCAAGAGCAGGTTGGAGATTCCCCCGCCCCCCAAAAAAAACCATTTAAAAATATTCTTGAAAAAAATGACATATATGTGTCATCTACTCAAAACAGAAGAATACCTATTGCTCTGGGTGTCCATACTTCTTTTTTTTTTTTTTTTTTTTCTGTGCTGGGATGGAACCCAGAGCCTCATGAATGCTAGGCAGGTGGTGTACCACTGAGCCACAGTCCAGCCCCACACTTCTAAAAAGCCATGGTTAAGAGTGACAGGGAAGGATGGGGAGGCCACAGAGCAGGTGTTGCCAGCTGCTCTCAGGGCCACTAACAAAAAAGCTGCCTGTGTGGGCTCATTAGCTGTTCTGACAGCAGCAATGGCTGGGACTTTCCTTGGGGCAGGAGCAGTCTGCACTGACTCAGTGGGGATACACTTGTCACTTCTCTGCCCATTTATTCACAAAGGTCACTCTGTCCACAACCTGAAACCAAGCCTGGCCCCCACGCAATGGAAAATCTTTGCTCTGTGATTTGTACTTTGCTGATCCCCAGGGCAGAGGAGTTCAGTTACAAGCAAGCTGTCAGGAAAAAGGATGCAAGTTCTGTGTCTTTGTGTGAATAGCAAGTCCAGTGAAGATGGCCCCTGAGGGTGCAGTAGCCAGGTACAGCCACCAGGGGCATTGCACATAGCTTCTGAACTTGGGAACCAGCCAGGCACCAGGACAGAGTTTATTTCTAAGCCAATTATTTGTTTTTCTCTTTTTGTCTTTTCTGTTTTGTTTTTAAAAAACTGTTTTAAAGTTATCTCTCAGATAAAATTAGAATTCCCCCAACCCTGCCCAGCTCAGGGTCAGGCTGTACAGCTCAGCAACACTAAAATTTGCCATTTAGGGACTCTTTGTGGCCTCAGCAATCCTGGGCCAGTGAGATAATAGATGAAGATACACAGGAGGCTGTGAGGCCTGGGTGGAAACTTCCAGCAAGTCTCAAAATATCCCTGTGCCTCTAAGCTCACCTAGCAAGAGGAATTTGTTAATGAGAAGGGGTCTGGGAGAGAGAGGTGGCTGGAGGCTGCCAGGCAAAGCTGTGAGTGCCCAGCTTTGGGGCTTTGGGCTCCCCTCCCTCACAGAAGCCCACAGAAGCTATGATGGAGCTTCCCATCATGGGGTGCTCCACTCGGTATCCTTGTCTCTGTCCTGCCCTCAGCTCTTCTCTGCTTCCTCCATGTTCTACATGTATTGGGTGATGCTTGGCCGAATGTCTGCGATGACAAGGGTTACCATGTATGCTGACAGCCTCACTGTTAGGTCACAGGGCCTCCAAATGCACACCTCTGTGGGCCTGCCCCACAGAGAACCCCATGTCCTGTGTGTATGCGTGTGTTCAGGAACAGTGGGAGGTCTCACATGTGGTGTGTAGACTTTCCAGAATGGAACATCCCCTGTTCCCCCCACCTCCCTCACTGGGACCTGAAGTCCCCAAGTCTTTCTGGGGCACATTTCCTGAAAGTGAATCTTGGTCCTACTGGAGGGAAGGTAGTCACCATGTCAGGAGGGGACACATGGACTTCAGACAAGATGCCTGCCTGGTGAGCAGATAGGGTCCTTGGGGGCAGGTCTGTTCTGTTCCACATTTGTATCTGGTGGAATTAGGTTCACATAGACCAGAGGGACATTAGGGACTAGTCTGAGAGGGAAGGGCAGAGGAACGGTCCTGGCTTCTTGGCCTTGGGTATAATAAGAGAGAGCTTCCTGGCCTGCAAGGTGGGGAGCCCCCCTTACCCGGACCGGAGCTGCCAAGAACAACCTCATCCTGGGGCAAATGGCCTCCCTGTGGCCAGAGAGGGCATTTGTAGACATTTTATGGCCACCCTTTC